CGTCTACAGGCCAACATCGGAGCCGCGAGCCTATCACCAATTAATATCGCAGACCAGCTGACGGTGAATACAGACAATGCACATCTATCTAGCTATCTATCTATTAGTGGTGTTCCGATTAATCGAGTTCGTCGATCATTACTCGTTTGGGCTGCTGAGTTGATTAATCGAGTAGAAAATCGAGTATAAACTTTTTTTATATATATATTTTTTTTTCCCCAGATTTGACACAAGTACATACATTTACACATATACTAGTAAACACGGTGCAATGTAAATTTTCAAGGAATTAAGCGACTTTGTTTCCTGAAAATCAAGCCTAATCCTAAATTTTCCTACATCTTTTCAACTTATTTCCTAAATTAAAGCTTTTAAAAAAAATGCCAGAGACCCTTTTTTGTTCATATTATGAACAACTTATGGTTAAAAGTTTAGGTCCCAACTCTGCTGTTTTTGAGAAATAACAAAAAAAACATTTTTGTATAAATTCACAATTTTTGCCGTCACTTAATTAGCGATGAGTTTTTAATAAAAAAATTCATCGATAGCATAGAGAGACATCTCTCTTATGTAATGGATATGAGTTTGATTGAATTTGATGAGCAGTTATGTTGCAATGCTTTTTAGAGTGTTACCCGTCCGTAACCCTAACAGTATCCTTAATTTAATTACCAGTAAATACTAGCTACACATACAATAATGTCAATATTCCTTCGCAATACACCGGTTGTGTCAACGATGACGCGGCATCACCGCGTTGTCGCTGCAATCTAAAATGATTGATGATTAATCGATCATCGGTCGTTTTGTAAAACCAATGATCGATCAAGAAATTTGGACCGATCTCCAACACTACTATCTATCCATCCATCCATCCATCCATCCATTCATCTATCGATCGATCTATCGATCCATCCATCCATCTATCGATCGATCTATCTATATTTATTTATCTATTTAGCTATATCAAGCTATAGGAAATGCATTAATATAGTTGTGTGAATCGTTTCTGTCTTACCACATTCTTGACAAATTTCTTTATTATAGATGCATATTGGGCACCCGTATAGCTCGGTGAATTTACTTTACTTTCAGCCCGCCAGGTGGCACTCCGTGCTTCTGACGATCGCCGGACAGGCGGCCATCGTCCGGCTGAACGACTTGCAAGGTTTCGTCATGAACTTCACGGGCATCATTCCTGATGATGTCGATTACGACCAGCCAATGATGATCGGCTCGAAGGGGGAGCCAGAAGTCACAAAGTCTGATCATCCAGGTCTGCGTCTTCACACGAGAGAGAGAGAGGGAGGGGAGAGAGCGAGAGAGAGGGGGAGAGAGAGAGAGAGAGAGAGAGAGAGAGAGAGACCGAGAAGAGAGAGAGTGAGAGAGAGGAGAGTGAGAGAGAGAGGGGGGAGAGGGAGAGAGAGAGAGGCCGAGAAGAGAGAGAAGGGGGAGGAAGAGAGACAGAGAGGAGAGTGAGAGAGAGAGGAGAGAGTGAGAGAGAGGAGAGTGAGAGAGAGAGAGGGGGGAGATGGAGAGAGAGAGAGAGGAGAGTGAGAGAGAGAGAGGCCAAGAAGAGAAAGACAGAGTGAGTGTGCGAGAGAGAGGCCAAGAAGAGAGAGAGAGAGAGAGAGAGAGAGAGAGAGAGAGAGAGAGAGAGAGAGAGAGAGAGAGAGAGAGCGAGAAAGAAAGAGAGAGGAGGAAAGTGAGAGGAAATGTAGGGTTAGAATGACGCGATGCGATTTATCCCTTCTGATTACATATGATATCTGATTCACGTTTGAGTACTGTTTCTGTTTCAGGTTTCAAGGGATTTATTTCTGCTCTGCATGTGAACTTTGAGGCATATACGCTGCAGCATACGGAACACTGGCAGGGTCATGGCAGCCCGGAGTACGGCATAGACATTCAGACGGATAACTCAGGTGGGTATTGCACTAATCTATACGTCATTATTTCCATTTGTCTTCTGTTCTGACTCGGTCATACTATAAGATGAACATATTGCCAGCAAGGCCATGCGTCAATGTAGTTCCTCTATGCTGCAGTGTTGCTTCATTTAGACCCGAAATAGTGAAAAGTTTCACCATACATTTTATTTATTCCCTAAAATCTAGGCGGCCAATTGACCCCTTGAACCAGAATCTATGGTGCTGTATACATTCACCCCTTATGAACATGATGAACATACTTGGTCTGTAATGCTTGTTGGGTCTGTCGTGCCTTCAAAGCTGAAGCGCAAGAATTTGCCACATCCCAAAATGTCTCGGACATGCCTTAATTATCTAATCGACATGCCTTAATTTCCAGTTGTGTTTATTTTTGACGATCCCAACACAGGCATGCTGTGTTTTTACAGGTTGATGTATACGTTTCCAAACTGGCTGAGTTTACAGGTGTATTGGGGCCGCTTATGACTCGCATAAATGACTCCAATGGGCATAACCCCTTCCCGGACCCTCTCCCATCCATCCATAAACGACGTACCCTCTGAAATACGTGGGATCGAGAACCCTGACATATACCCTATTTACTCGTGTATAAGTCGCATTCGTGTATAAGTCGAAATATATATATGCATATTTTTCATTGAAAGGTTGGTACAAACATTGGTACATTAACAAGATTTCTTAGCCTCGTGTATAAGTCCCACCCCTAATGTTTTTATTGAAGTTTTGTACAAAAAAGCGCGACTTATACACGAGTAAATACGGTATATCTTCCGATTATACAGTGTACATCGGTTCGTCGCATAACGTGACAGGAACTATCCGCGTTGCAGATCCGGAAGCCTTCCTGCCACGGTTCACCGGCCGCAGCTACGCGGTCCTCGCCGTACCGGAGAGCGTCCGCCAGCTACGGCTCAAGCTCACACTGAAGCTGGACACTAGCGGAAGCCAGCTGCTGCTCTTCAGCAGAGGGAGGGAGCCGGGTTCCTTTGTCAGCCTCACCGTGCACGCGGAGAAGCTGAGGCTGTGTATAAACACCGGCGTGAAGGAGAGCTGTGTGTCATCCGACACGATCGCGGTACGTGTGTGCACTCGCGATATGAGAGTCGTTATACGTCACGATCTTGACTTTAATTAATATCGTAGGAGTAGTGTATGCAGGTCTGAATTGCTATGCGTATAGGTTATGATTTTAATTTTAATTAATGTCGTAGGATTTTCATGCAGTATAGGTAGGCCTAAGAATCCTTATACATTATGATCTTAATCATAATTAATATTGTAGGATTTTCATGCGGTGTAGGTAGGCCTAAGAATCCTTATACATTATGATCTTAATCATAATTAATATTGTAGGATTTTAATGTAGTGAAGGCAGGCCCTGTACTAAATGTACTTATCTGTCACTTATATGTGATATGTATGTCGCCATGATCCAAGAGCGGCATATAGTTATCTCTCAGGTGGATAGAACAGTTTGTGGGCACTATGCTTGTCACGTTAATAAAGGGATTATATATATTATATATTATTATATTTATATATATTATCATCGTCCACACGATGATAATAATTCCACTCGTCGAACACGTCACGTTAAATAAAGGGATTATAATTATATATTGTATATTATTATATATTATAATATTTAGATATTATGATCGTCCACACGCTTGAACATCCGCTGCTCCCGCAGGTTGACACGTGGTACGTTGTTGACGTCGTCGTCACGGGCGACACGGCGGAGCTTGTGACTCAGTCGGCCGCACGCACCGAGGGCTACGACATCACCGCCGCGGGACCGCACTTCTCGCCGGACTCCCAGCTTCTCGTCGGCGGCGGCAACGCGGCCGACTGGTCGCTCGTCGTCATGGCGACGGAGGTGGCCGCGGGGTTGACGGGGGTCGTGCGGACGGTCGGCGTCAACGGTGTGAGACACGAGTTCACGGATGAGACGCTGTACAGCAGGGACGGTGTGATGCTGTCAACGCGAGCGAGTCTTGCAGGTAAACACACACACTAGCAGCAGCAGCAGCAGCAGCAGCAGCAGCAGAAGCAGCAGCAGCAGCAGCAGTAGC